GTTTAAATGCATAACAATTATACAATTTGTAGTCATTTTTATAGCAATGTACTTTTTTACTACCTTTTTATAACAACATACTTTTTTACTTTTACTTTTTTATATCAAGATACCTTCTCTTTCTCACATTTTATATCAATTAACTTTAATTTTTATATCATTTTCAATCATTTTGGTTAAACGACATTAACCATTAACCAAAACAATTAACTGACTAAAACCATTAACCTTAACCAATTCTAATCATAACCAATGACTAATGAAATACATTAATTGATTGTAATGGTTATGGTTCGATTTGTTCGATAACCAAACCAAACCGTCTCATATACCCCGAACACTTTACACCTCCTCACCACCTTACCTAGCCCACCCTTACCATACCCATCCCCACCTATTATACCCTACACATCCTACCCAATCAATCTAACTTATTCGCCTAACCTACCTACCTACCCTCCCTTTATAGACCCTCTACACCTACCCCTTACAACTACTCTACCCCATCATCACCTCCCATCCTACCTACCCTGCTCCTTCCGTCCATCTTACTTACCCACCCATCACCATCACCGCCTACCTTATGTTCATCCTACCCCATCCCATCGCTACCCCCACCCACCCAGACCCACCAATTAGAGTCCTATACACCCCTAAAATCTAAAGTTTAGGAAAAAATTATACAAAAACTATGAAGTCTTAAAAATGTTGTAAAAATTTTAATAAAAGTAAATTTGTTAAAAAATTATATTTGGAGCAAACTTTAAAAATGAAACCGTCTGCACCGTATTCATAACGAAATTTAAAAATTATACAAAATTTGTAACGAAAACATAAGCCAAATTTGTGAAATTGAAATGTTCAAAGAAACAAGAACTCATGGTTCATTTGTTGGATATTTTGGGACCACTAATAAATATACATAAATAATATTATCATTAATTTTATATTATTATGAAAATTATATAAAATTGTTGATGAACCGATTTTATTAATAAATAAAGATATAGACTTACCATGTTTATCTTGTGGGTTGAGTTTCTGATTTGACTCAAGATCTCCTAAATCCCTAATATCTCTCACATTCGGTTATATCTCCATCTATATAAATACGTGATGAGAAGCAGATTTACCACAATACGAAAATACATACACATGTAAATTCGTTTAGGGTTTGCTGTGGGATTTAGAAAGGGTTCTTGAGATCAACTGGAAAACCCAACCCTAGTTCTTCAGATCTGAAGATCATAATGAATCAGGTATGTAATCGTTCTTTATTGTTTAAGTTTTCTTTTAACCAGATTCAAGATTAAAGATCTAAGATTATGCTTCCGCGTTTTATGTTTTGGTTATGAAAATAACCAACAATTTGTATCAGAGCCTACTTGAATCTGGTTAAAAGAATTTTTATGATTGGTTTAAAATATCATAATGAAAATACCTTTTCTTGAGCTTCTTCTGCCGTCATCGGAATTATACACATGAAAATTTGACAACAAAATCAATTTGTATTATCATTGGGTTTTGTGATAAAAACAACATCGGTCATGAATTTATCCAATTCAATTTGGTGGTATTTAATAAGCATTATTTGTTTTAATAGTAATAATTAATCTTCATATGAATAGTGGGCTACTTATGGCAATTTAATAAATATATGTATATATATTTTCTCTGCAATTTTTTTTTTTGGAGGCGAGGGCTTACAAATGAATTATCCTTCGGATTTTTTTGGTTACTTTTGGCACAAGGACCATCACGTATGTATGTATGTATGGGGAGGATTGGTGTAAATATGTTAATTATCGGTTCTACACACAATTGCCTTTGATTAATTTTAATCCAAATTAACAATAATATGGAAGGGTTGATATTGATTTAAGATTTAATATTAAAGAATCAAGTATTTATTTTCGAGAAAGTTGCCAAATTTTCAGTTTTCATAGTAATCGGGTTGTACAATGGGATTAGCAAATTTGGTCTTCATAAAATTCTTAGTTGAGGATTCTTAAATTTATTTACGTTGTGTTATCATGTTTATTTAAGTATATACTATGTTATTATCGAGCAATGATTTGAAGGCTTTTGGTTTCTATAAATTCAATTATGATATTATTTTCATAGTAAATTAACTGACACAATATATCACAAAAGTGATCACTTTTGTGCATATTAATTTACGATAAATTTAAATATTTTTGTTTATGTGTTTGTTAATGTGGATATTAATCGACCCAAATGTAGGTTAATATTTGGCCGGATAAACACATGTTTGATGATAAATATGTGACAATTTTTAGGTTGCATGTCATTAATAAGTCAATCCAAAGAGGGGCTTATTAATTGACATGATATATTGTCAATTTCTATTATCAACATTTATAGTTTATGTGTTTATTAATGCGGGTATTAGCCGACCCAAAGGTAGACTGATATTTGGTCGAATGAACACATATGTAGTGATAAACATGTAGCGAATTTTTGGTTCGATGTAATTAATAAGTCAATCTAAAGAGGGGTTTGTTAATTGACATGATTTATTGTCAATGTTTATCTCTAAAATAAAGTTATCTCTTGCAAGTTAGTATTACTGTCCAAAGACTTGATACTAATGTTGTGTCGATACATTGTAAAGATGTCATAAATTGAATTTATTGATTACGGTTTATGGATTAATGATCATAAAAATAGACTTTGATTATGTTTGAATATGGTATTATATTTGCTAACATTGATCACATTTGTGATTCATGTACTCAATAAGATTAAGGAATGGAATGATGGCATTATGTTAGTTCTTAATTGCATGGATATTGACCTTGCATTTTGGATATAGCAACATTCTTTGAGGATGTTGAGTTTGGGGGAGAAACAAGATTAAAATATTGTCCTTAAGGAGGAATCAATCTTGATTCCTATTATTGCTTTCGATAATATGCATATTTTGAATCAGGGATCGATAATGTTATTCAATCTCATATTCTGAATACACAAACTCAACAACCTCAACTTTGGATATCCTACGTGTGGTAGTACATTTTTCATCAATTTATTATCTATTTTGGTTTTGAGGTAGATGATATTGTGTACCACACATTTAGTGGGAGTAAATTTATATTTCTGGTTTTGGGCAGATATCTACGCAGCTTAAGTTTGGATCATAAGAAAGCAACCAAAAGGATTTTGAGATATTTATATATAACAAAAGGTTATATGCTCAACTATAGGAAATTCATATGTTTAGGAGATCATTTTTATTAAGAATATGATTTTATTAGATGCCAAAATGGTTACTGATCCATATCAGGATACTTTTACATTTTAGCATGATGAGCCATTTTATGGAATAGACTTCGGTAGCTTCTTCCATAATGGCATCATAATTTGTAGCATGGAATATTGTTGCGAAAACTTGTCATGAGGCTACACATTATTGGTATTGAAAGACCACTAAAGTTGTGATAATAAGTCAACAATGTTATAGCAGAAGTTCTATTAAGTCAATGTAAATTGACATCACGTTTCCTTCTGTTAATACAATAGTGCAAAATGGAAATATATAGCACATATGAACAAACTCCATAAAAGCGGATCCGCTCATAAAGGGATTATCTCCCTAGGTCTTTCAAGAGTATAATACACACGTTGGTGTGATATTTGGTTTTAGTGGGAGTCTTATGGTGTTTTATTTTTTGTTGAAGAATAATTATGTTTTTATGTACAGAATTAAGAATTCGATTAACTCCATTATTAGTTGCACTTATTTGAAGTTTGATCGTACTTCAATCTAAAGAGAAACTCATCAGAAATCTATTTAGATTTTAAAACCACACATCATGTTTAATCTATGTCATTAGCTATATATATATATATATATATATATATATATATATATATATATATATATATATATATATATATATATGTGTGACCATTGATAAGTTTAGTTACGTAAATTGTAACGAAAGCCGCTTTGATCCTATACTTGTATGATTAGTGGACGGGATTTTAAGGGTACCAATACTATGATAACATTCATTAAAGCGCTTATATAGTTATATATACATTTATACATTCGTGGTTCAGTGGGAGATTGTTGGATATTTTGGGACCACTAATAAATATACATAAATAATGTTATCATTAATTTTATATTATTATGGAAATTATATAAAATTGTTGATGGACCGATTTTATTAATAAATAATGATATATACATACCATGTTTATCTTGTGGGTTGAGTTCCTGGTTTGACTCAAGATCTCCTAAATCCCTAATATCTCTCACATTCGGTTATATCTCCATCTATATAAATACGTGATGAGAAGCAGATTTACGACAATACAAATATATATATATATATATATATATATATATATATATATATATATATATATATATATATATATATATATATATATATATATATTTTCTGCAGTTTAATAAATGAGAGCCTTTACAATAACAAAGCTTTTCTACTAAGCTTTTCACCTACATGACACATCAACAGCCGAAAAACTATAACACAAGTCCACCCTAGTAAAAACATTCACTAAGCTTATTTGTTGATCCCATTAACGACATTTTAGCGTTTTTGGAGTATTAAAAGGAACAAACTATATAAATATAATGAAAATTTGAAGAAACTTGATGAAAAAGCTCCCATAATAGGAAGTAAGCTATTGAATTTCAAAATCTTATTCACCCAAAAAGCTTTTAAAAAACTCCTTTTTTGTTTGGGATAATAAGTTGCTAGTTTTGTACGGTCTCGAACTCAATCTTAAGAGTAAATTACACAAATGGTCCCTACGGATTAGAGTAATTTGTACGTTTGGTTTCTAACTTAATTTTTTAACTCAGAAGGTCTCTACTGTTTGTTTTGTTACGTGTTTGATCCTGTCTTATATAAAAAAAAAAACTATTTTCCCATTGATTTTTTAATTTATTTATATTAACACACCTCAACCTCACTCCCTCACATTTACCTTACCTACCCTATTTTTTTTTTCTATTTAAATAATAACATTTTCAGATAAAACAGGGATCAAACGCGTAACAAAAACATATAGTAGAGACAAAGCATGTAACAAAAACAAACAGTAAAAACTTTCCGAGTTAACAAAATATACTAAGGACCAAACGTGTAAATTACCCTAAACCATAGGGACCATTTGTGTAACTTACTCCGATCTTAATTTAATGTAGTCCAAAAGCGTATTATGTCATTTACACTATTACTTACTTAACTATACAATCACTTTTCATTTTCATAAATAGAGTTTTTAGTGTGTTTTATGCGACGGGTACTTTACAGCATATATTGATGATGTCATCTAAAGGAGCATGATCGCCTGTTCCTTCATCCTTCCATGCATACAACAACTCTTTACCTTTAAATACAAACATCCCTCCCTAAAAACAAATACACAATTATATAAAATTACAATATTTTAATATAAAAAAAAGTTGGTTTTCTTATAGTTTTAAATTGAACCTGTTGCAAGACACTTCCTCTATCATCTGGTGTTGCTTCAATCGTGTAATTCTTTACAGCTTTTTTTAGAGCCTCAAATCTTGATTTTGATAATACCTTTGCCTATAGATTACAAGATTTCGCATAATTTTTTTATTTTATTCATTAATATGTGAAAAGAAATGTAGTTATCTTTTTTTGGTATGATCGAATAGAATCATAAATGAATTGAATAAACAGTGTAATGGATTGGATAATTACAATATATTATTATGTTTTTGAACGAATGGAATAAGTCATTTTGTTTGTTATGTACAATTATAAAATTGAATGAAATTAAAATGATATATAAACAAAAGATGTTATTATATAATAATGAACTTTAATCAAATAAAGATTTATCTCCATTGCGTATAAACGTATTCCTTGCTTGAAATATATAATAAAATTATTTCACATAGTCATAAAAAGTTTATTTGTCACTCTAAAAAAATTGTCTACAAAAATAAATTAAATAATAAATACCATGAAATCCAAACATAGAATTTTAACTAAAAACATTTTTAGTTGCTTTTAAAAAAAATCAAGAAAATATCGAATACAAGTTCTCAACTTCTTAAAATATTATCATCACAAAAAAATAGACAAAATTACAAAAATGGTCCCTATGGTTTGTATTTTTCCGGGTATTTATCCAAACCTTGAAAAAATTGAATTTATGGTCTTTTTGAAGATGTTTCATTGTTTCTCCTAAAATTAAAATGACTAAATTGCCCTTATTATATTTATTTTTCATTCCATTCCATTCCTTCTACTTCATAAAGACATTTATTTTTGATAATTATAAGAGTTTAATTTTCAAGATACAAAAACGAAGGAAAACATTTACACTTGCGGGGTTGAAAAACGTCCTTCCAAATCCATAATATAAACCCAAAAGATTATACGCCTGAAAATACATTAAAATAAAAAACAAGATTCAATTACAATATTACATAAAATAAGACAATAATTTGAAATGATTGAACACATTTCAATAGTAACAACAGACCTTTCTCTCGGGATCTGCATAGAGGCTCTCTAATGGAAATGGTAACTGAAATTTGAAAAGATTAGTAATTGAAAAACATAAAAAGATGATGAAACAGGAAATGAATAATTTATACTCTTTCAGCAAGGATTTGGGCTTTCTTAGGTTCACCAATGCCAATAGCAATTAGCTTCACACCAGCAGATTCAAATCTTGCTAGAGATTCTTTGAGAGTTGAAGCAAGTTCCCAGCTACATATGTTAATGAATGTGATTCAATGTAGAAACATTGTTGGATTAAAATTTGTAACTTTTGGAAGCCATTGATGCTTGTTTATGGAATAGATCGAAGGTCGAAATGATTACCAGCAAGGGCATCCAAAATGCCTTAGAAGAGCAACAACAGCAATGCCCTAGAGAGTGGAGAAGAGAATTGTTACAAAAATGGTGGATGGATTTAAATCATTTTATGTCGTAATATGCATTAAGCTTGAAAACATAAACATTGAAAGCGTAATTTGAACAATTCTCAAATTGAGTACAGAGTGATTTAACCTAATTTTGAAATTGACGTGGGATATGAAACAATGAAGTAACCCTAACTGATTAACTAATGATATGATGAGATGAATGATTCAGAGGTAGGTAATTACCTCAGATTGATCCCAGAGTTGATTGAAGGCGACGGAGTCTCCGGAAGCGGTGAAGATGTTGACATCTCCGAGTACATCAGCGATTTCAGGGGAGAATTCGGCGGTGGAAGAAGCTTTTGGGACAAGAGCAGTTGGATTTTTTCTGCTTTGATGTAAATTTAGGGAACGTACGGTGGTGGTGGTGGTGGTGGTCGGAGATGAGATAGATGGATGCGATAGTGAGTGAGGAGATTGGAAAGGAGAAATTGAGGAAAGATGATAGAACGATGATGTAATTGTTGGTGGAGATATGCGGATCGCCATTGTTATGCAGCTTCGAGAAATTTGTGAGAACACTACTATAAGAGAAGAAAATGGAATATTCTATGTAAATGGATGGGACACGTGTAACTAGCTAACTCACAGAAAAAAAAAAGTCTAAGGGCCCGTTTGATTTGGTGTTGATCGGGTCCGGTCAGATGAAAACGTCTGATTCGGTCCGGTTAGAATGTTTGATTCGCGTTGTTCAGACTGCTGACCCGGTCTCAGTCAGCAAAATTGATCCGACTCGGTAAGGAAAAAAACTAATGCTGACCGAGACTTAACTTCATTTGGCCGCATTTTCCCTTCTCGTTTTGCTCTTCCTGCTCCCTCCTTCACGCTTCTTCTTCATCGTCTCCAAACTTATGAACAGACGCCATCAGCCTCCTCCTCCAACGTCGTCATCCTCCTGCCTTGTTTTCGTCATCACCAACGACACAATCATATGTTACAACTCACGATTGATTTCCTTCGTAAGGTATTTATCTTTTCCTAAATACTCCTCATCTCTTCTTCTTCTTCTTCTCTTTTTCTTCTTCAATTCTATCAATTTCAAATGGAATCATGCATCAGTATCGTATTATTGTTTTTACTCCAAACCTAAAAACCCAAAACCCGAGTTAGATACATAAATTGAGTTAGGACAAACCTATATGAGTTGGGACAAAAACGTGATTGCGATTTCCAGAAATTGAGTCGGATCCATGGGTCGTTGTTGTAGGCGATTAACAAGCGTGATTGTTTGTGGTGTCGTTAGATTTGGTTTTCAGTTTAGATGAAATGGAATCGATTCAAAAGGATTTGTTTAAGAGACATAGTGATTATCATATCGTGGATGAAGAAATTGGGATGAAATTGGACTTCATTTGGGCACCTTATGCTACTAATCTCGCTCATGTCATTACAGAATTCAAAAGAAACAATACTTACCCATATGTGTTAGTGATGGGTTCAAGTTTATGGCATATGTTACACTTCACATATTATTCCGATTACATGGTTTCATTACGATTTCTAAGGGAATCCTTGATTCCATTCCTTCCAGTGGGATTTGCTTCTACTTGGGGATTCCATTTGTTTTGGCTAGGCATGCCAACTTTAATAAACATAATGCCGAATACATAAGAGAAAAAGGGAAAAGATGACAAGTGAGATGTGCAATTTGAATGATTATAAGAACTTTATAAAAGCAAGATCTTAGGTAAAGATGGTGGTGTGATTATATGTATGTGTGTGTTGAATCTAAATTTTGTTATTGTATGTTGGGTGGAATATCTATCTACCTTTGGTTTCTTGTTGCAGAAAAAGGTTTGTGAATTGATTAATGCATACATTTTGTTATTTGTTAGGATAATCAAACTTGATTAGTTGTACAATTAGGGCTGTAAACGAACTGAACGTTCGGCGAACCGTTCGTGAACTGTTCGGCGGGAAGTTCGTTTATGTTCGTTTATTTAATAAATGAACAAACATGAACAAAAATTATCGTTCGTTTAGTTAAATGAACGAACATGAACAATGGTCTCGTTCGTTCATTTATGTTCGTGAACGTTCGTTTATGATGTTCATTTACGTTCGTTTATGTTCGTTCATTTAAGTTTATTTATATTCATCTATATTCAATTATTTTTTATTATATTGCTATATTATATGTTCGTTTATGTTCATATATGTTCAATTGTGTTTTTTATCTTTGTTCGTTTATGTTCGTTTAGCATGTTCACGAACATAAATGAACCAACATGAACAAAGTAATTTGTTAAACGAACGAACATGAACAAGAAAATCTCGTTCGTTTATCCGTTCGTGTTCGTTTGTTGTTCGGCTAACTTAAACGAACGAACATGAACAAGACCTTGTTCGTGTTCGTTTGGTTCGTTTACAGTCCTATGTACAATACATTGGTTAAGTTTGATGTTGAGAATCATAATTGTTTTGCCCTTACAGTGAAGTGATTCTTGTTATGTTTTTGGAAGTGGTAATGTATTTCTTTCATTGAAATTATTTGTATATATATTCACTATGTAATGTTATAAATTAAATTGTAAATTATAAATGAATTATTCTAAAAAAAATGTTGTTTGAGGGTAATATAGTCATTTTGCACAGTCAGTCTGTTGAAAATTCAAACAAGTTTCAGTTAGAAGTTAATCCAGTCAGAACTTCTAACCCGGTAAGCTTCCAACCCAGTCAGCTCTAACCCAATTAGCAACTATCAAACGACCCCTAAGACAAGTCAAATGTTATTTTTTAGAGTAAATTACAGAAATGGTCCCTGTAGTTTAATCAAATTAGCAGTTTTAGTCCAAACTTCGAAATTTGATCGATCAAGTCCCTATGGTTTCCAATTATTGTAGTTTTGGTCCTTCCATCTAACTCTGTTCCGTTAAAAACATTTAAAATGACTAACATACCCCTCATTCTATTTTTTTAATTTGTTTTTTATTTTTTTGTTGATTATAATTTATTAAGTTAAATCGGTCCACCGGGTCCTCACCCCCTCCCACCTATATGTTCATCGGCTCCAATAATGGTGTCTTTGAGGATGGTCATCTTCTTCGGCAAGCCATAGCCGACAGGTGATTTTGTAGTTTTACAACAACAATTAATGAGTAAAAAAGCATAAACTAGAAATCTAAAACCGATATAGAATGATATCATAACCTAAATTGGTAACCCAAATCAAAAGTGTCACAACCCCAAATCGGAATGGCGGAAACGTTCGGGGGCGGAGGACGTCATGTACAGTATCACAACAATTGTATAATAGTAATCAAAGCAACAAAAATCATTGTATTAATAACATAGTATTTACATTGTGTTCAAAACATAACTTTTTTAACTTTAAAACTATAGCAAAAGATAAGACGTAAAGCTACTATGTTCCGTCTTCGTAACGCCTGAGATGGTACCTGTCTACTAATTTTCCTGAGAATACAAGTGGTTTGAAAAAGTGTCAACATTAAAGTTTGCGAGTTCATAAGCATTTTTGTTATAGAAAGTATGTTCATTGTTCTTTGAAAATGTTAACGTTTTCCTCCAAAAAAAATCCAATATTATCTTAGTAAATAAGTTTATGTTCATAGTACTTTCTGACCAGAAAGTATTAGTTTCTTGTGTTTATTATCTGTGATTTGAGGTTTAGATTCATGAAATTGTATGATTTGTAAATAACTGTTGAATGCTTTGTAGATGTGTTCCTAGTTGCACCCGCTCTACTATAGATCATTGTTTTTGATGAGTAATCGCATTTGTTTTCAGAAAATTAATTGCAAACTATTTACTTGAAAAAGGATAATGTTGATCCTAGAAAATTCTATATTTTCCATAAAAACCAAGCTGAAATCTTAAACGTTCCAAAACCAAAAAGTTTTAGCATAAATACCATACTTAATTTAGTTGAGGAGTAGTCTTAAACCCTAAGACCAAAGTGTTTGTATGATGATGTGTGCTAAGTTCGCATACGCGTTATTTTGTTACTTGATAAAACTGCTTTGATATATGTTTCCCCAAAGTTGTAAGTTTTGTTCTAGAAAATGGTGTGTTATACTAATACGTGTTGGTATGACCCATATCTGTTCCTCCTTTGATTACTTAGTGCATATAATCAAGATCCAACGGACAGTTGATTGAGTGATTCTTTCATAAGCCTACAACCAAACGAGGAACATGAAGTAAGGCAGAAAGCACCCATCCAACTGCCTGTCAGATATTATCCATATATAACCCTGACATATAAACCAAGAAATCCTAGAATTTACAGTAAGAGTCCTTTAGATCCTACTGGTTTGTAAAGTCCTTTGTTGTAGTTTTATAATTAAGTAAAACTATGGGAAGTTAAGTTTGTTTATGTATTCATACACTAATCGTACTGCTGATACCAAATTGTGAGTCCTCGTAACCATACTAATACGACGGATGTCCTAACACGATGTTCTTCAGGCGTCGGAATCGTTAATGACATTTATCACCCCAGGCCAGTCGACTTAACTGTAGCTAACAATTAAGTGTGGGATTATCAGTCCCGTATAGATCTATACACAAACTCACGCTCTCCCTCTAGGAGACTCTGGTTATTAAGGTCAGGACTTTTGTTGACACTCAAATAAGTACTTGGAGACGTTATCTCACAAAGCTATATCGACGGTTAAGTGTAGAACAAAGAAAAGAACATTTTTGTAAACAACATGTAACTTTGTAAAATAGTCCGTTCGTTCCATAAACTATACCTATTATAGTTTATAAGTTTGTTTTACGTGTTATGATCTGAGCCTGTAAAATAGTTCACTTTGTTCCATAACCTATACTTATTATAGTTTATAAGTTTGTTTCCGTGTTAAAATGTGAGCTTGCAAAATAGTTTTCTTTGTTCCATAAACTATACTCATTATAGTTTATAAGTTTGTAAAATAGTTCATTTGTTCATTTCATATAAAAATTGTTACGACTTAAGATATTTTGCAGTTTAACCGTAATGATGTTTGGCGGATTTAGTAATTTCACAATCAAATGTATGTTAACGGTAAGAAAATATATTAAGTAAATTATATTTTTAAACACATGATTTCCTGTGTTTTACCTATATCCCCCCCCCCCCCCCTCCCCCGCTTAAAAACATTGAAAAATCTTGCAAAATATGGGGGGTATGAACTCACCTCGAAGGTGTGTCGTATCCTAAAAATAATTATACCGACGTCGTATTTAAATTAATAATATATTATTTTGAATAATAAATTAAATAATGTTGTAAATAATAATTAAAGTGTTAGAAAACACTTTAATTATGTAAGGAAAATACTAACGATAATAATTGGAATTATTTGGAAATGGTTCTAGGCATTTTCGGTTAGAAAATAGGTGTTTTCGGTTGACATGAGGAGTTTTCGGCTGGAGGTTGAAGATTTGCAGATCTTGTTGAATGTTCTTGGTGTTATTGGTGAAAACTTGAAGATCTGGGCAATAATCCTATGAGTTTATGGTGTTCACGGATGATAGTTGAGAGCAAAAAGAGAGGTGTTTGCGGCTGGAAAATGTGAGAAATGAAATAGTTTTCGAATAAACACCTATGTATAGGGGGTGTTTACGGTTCAAGATGGGCCAAAGCCTTAGTGTTTTCGGTTCTATAATGGGCTTGGTAATGTGTTTTCGATCACACCTAAACCGAAAACCCATTTGGTCTTTGATTTCAAACCGTAAACTCTTGATTCCTTGAATTTATGGCCGAAAACTTTTAATTGGTAAGATTCCCCAAACTGTGAACACCTTTTTGGATTTAATACAAACCGTTAACACCTTCATGTTTAAGTTTCCAACTGTAAACCCTTTTCCCCTTTAATTACTTTGGGCAAAAACACATATATGAGGGTTATTTATGGTTTAAACGCTTGATCTTTTAACTTATGTTCATTTATACTACCCTAAATTAGCTTGGATTTCAATACATACATAGTTACTTGTCACACCCCAAAACCGGAACGGCGGAAACGTTCTGGGGTGGATGACGTCATGTCAAGTATCACAACACATGCATTATAGTAATAAAAGTACAACAAAACATTGCATTAATAGTAATAGTTTTACAAGGTTACATTACAACATTTTAAAGTAATACAAGTAATAGAATAAATACAACATAGTACAAAACTATCTTCATCAACAGCTCCGGGGATGTACCTGTCTAATGCTAACCTGAGAATACAAGTTATTTGAAAAGCGAGTATCAGCATTATTACAAATGCTGGTGAGTTCATAAGCATTTAGTGACATTTCATTCAAATAACTTAAGAAAGTAGTAGTTTAAGAGATTTCAGTGTATTAGAGTCCTTTCCAGAAAATCCTATATTTTCTTTAATAAAAGCAGCCTTCTACCAAGACTGGTCAGTGATGTAGGGTAAAAAGTAGTTTTCCCTAAATTGCTATCATTATCAAAATACTGAATTTAATTATTGAGAAAAGCAACAACATCAGGGAATATCATATGCCTCAGCAGTGAGGACTGCTGACTAAGGCAAAAGAGTCATAGACTCCAGGAAAGTATCGAACTAACGACACGCCTGGTTCAGTCTAACAAATGGAGAAACAGACCCCAGAAGGTACCAAATGAAAGGTACAATTGGTAAGGTCTA